CGTCCAGCACCCGCAGCGCCAGCACCGCGCTGCTCTGCAGCGCCGGCGACCCGCCGTCGGCCGCCCGCACCGTCACGTTGTACTCCGACACCTGCTCTCGGTCCAGCCCTCTCGCTGTCAACACACGGTAGTAATCGTCAAAAGACTTCTCCAGCCGGAAAGGGGCGCCGCCGACAAGAGAGCATCGGACTTCGCCGTTAGCCCCGGAGTCCCGGTCCCTCACGTGCAGCAGAGCCACAACAGTTCCCGACGGCGCATCCTCAGAGATCTCGCTCAGTGCCGACCGCAATGATATCTCTGGCACATTGTCATTGACGTCTGTTACGGTGACTACGACTTTTGCTGTGTCAGATTGGCCTTCCCCATCATGGGCCTGCACCTCCAGTTCGTACGTCTTCCCTTCCTCGAAGTCCAGGCTCTGTAAGAGGCTGATCACTCCTGTGTGGCTGTTCAGCTGGAATGTCTGCGAAGATTTCATTGTGATTTTGTTAAACGAGTATTTAATTTCCCCATACAGCCCCTCGTCAGCGTCCGTGGCCGTGACGGTGACGAGGACAGAGCCCACGGGCACGTCCTCGGGCACACGCACCGTGTACTCCGCCTGGCTGAACACGGGCGCGTTGTCGTTCGCATCCACCACGGTCACACGGATCCGAGCCGTGCCCGTCCGTGCCGGATCGCCGCCGTCCATCGCCCTCAGCACCAGCTCGTGAAACGCCGCCTCCTCCCGGTCCAGCGCCTTGGCCAGCACCAGCTCGGGACGCTGATCGCCGCCGGGGCCCGCCTGCACGGCCAGCGAGAAGTGCTCGTCACCGCTCAGCTCGTAGCTCTGCAAGGAATTCCGGCCCCAGTCCGGGTCATGAGCATCCGGCAAGAGAAACCGAGACCCTGGAGGTTTCGTTTCGGTCATTTTAACCTCTATTTCTGCGTCTCGGAAGTTTGGCGAATTGTCATTAATGTCCGTGATCTCCACTTGGATTCCGTAAACTTTCATTTCCCCCTCCACGATCAGCTCACAGCGCAGCACGCATTGCTGCACACGCTCGCACAGCTGCTCTCTGTCGATCCTCTCCGCCGTCACTAAATGTCCCGTCTTCCCGTGAACAGTGAAATACTGCGTCCGACCTTCCGAGATCACCTGAACGCCGCGATGTCGGAGCTCCGGCAGCTGCAGCCGCAGGTCCTTGGCCACGTCGCCCACGAACGAGCCCTTGGGCAGCTCCTCGGGCACCGAGTAGCGCAGCTGCCCCCACGCCGCCTCCCACGCCGCCAGCAGGACGGCCCAGAGCACAGCTCGCTGCCGCCGGCCCCAGCGCCTCCCCGCCCAGCTCATCTCCGCCAGCTTAGCTCCCCGCTGCCGCTGCTGCTCAGCTCCCAGCGCTTGCTGACCTTTCCCACCGGCCTCTCCGCTCCCGGGCCCTGCCCCAGCCTCCGCCGCCTCTCCGCCGCACGGATCCGCACCGGCAGGACGATCGCACACCGCCGCCCGGGCTGCCCACCCACCGATCCAGCGATCCAGCGATCCAGCCTGGCCGCAGCGGGCGGGGCTGCCGGCAGCGCTCCGATCCTCCTCTCGCTCCTCTCGGTCAACAGCGGCGCCCGCAGCCTCCTCCCGGCACTGCAGACACCGAGCGCTGCCCGCCCTGCCTGCCCACAAACAGGGACCACTCGCCACCCACACGCCGCTTTCCGGCCCGCGCCGATCTCCTGCCTCCGCTTTTCTCCAGCCCATCTCGCCTTTGACCCTCCAGGGCATCGCGATCGGGAGGAAGGCAGAGATATTCCGTGAGCGCCGTTCCTTAACCGCAAGGGACACTAAGCCCTTACTTATGTTATTTTATGTAAATTCAAATACATTTTCCGTATTTTAGCCTGTAGCTTATGGTTAGCCTTATGCTTTTCGTACAAAAGCATCTTCAACAACAGGCTCTCAGAGGGAAACGGGAGGATTCCACATCCCGAATAAACACAGCTATCAGGTTCATTTACACAAGCAGGATGAGAGCAATTGCATGCTTCTTCAAGTCAGGGATATAATTGTTACAGAACTGAATAACAGGGACAAATAAAGATGCAGCTAAAACACTTAAAAGAAAACTTTCGGAACTTCAAATCTTTCACATCTTTTCCCAAAATAAACATAGTGTCTCATTAGATAAAAGAGATTTACGTTTCATCAATTCTTTCTAGGTTTCTTTTATTATGAAATCAACGTGTAAAGAATTTAAACTCATCAGTAAGCTATTTATAGCCGTATTTCTTAACGACGTTGATACCATGTGTTTCCAAGAAAGAAATTATAGAACCATAGCAAAAGAATACAACTGTGATCTTGAAACATTTCTGAGCAGTAATCAATAACGAAATTTGATTGATTCAAGTGCCTAAACCGTCATCTGGACAATCTCCCCCATATGTGATCCCTCTGCCGCTCAAATGTCCATCCTAGCCAACAGAATTTCAACTCTTTTTTGTTTCTGATACACCGAGTTCTGCTGACACCCCCAACATCTTTGTGAGAAAAGGATAGAAAAATCAAGATCTCTGAAACACAAATCATTCAAGTCTATCACAAGGATATAAAATAAAGATGATGAAGGGCAAAACAGCAAACTGCCAGCCAGGACGTATAAAAATAAGCAGTCCAGTCCCACTACTACAATCCCCCCAGAAAAAGGCAATAATCGCTTTTTTTCACTCGCCATGCAGAACGGAACTTTCCACTTTCGGCTCCTTTCTAAATCAACCAGGAGAAAACGAAGTTTAACGAACGGGTTTGTGTAAAGCTCTACACGAGTTCCAAACACCGGTTTCCACAACAAATTAGTCAGGATGGATGAAAGCACCAACACCCGCTGTCAGTGTTTTCTCCTTTTTCCGCGACCCCCTCATGGACAATCAGCCATTCTCCTTCCCCAGAATACCAATACCAGTGTGCATGCGGTACTGCGAACACATTGCAAATGATAGAGCTCAAAAGTTAAAGACAAATCCTCGCACCTGAAGCTGAACTTGTGACCAAGGAAGAACCAAGTGCTTCCTGCTCTACCGTGAACGGGGCATTGCCCGTTCCTTAATTCACTCCATCACGGAGACAGGACTGTGCCACCCACAAAAGCAAAAACTTCAGTCTCAGGAATCAGAGAGAAACAATGAGAAACGCTGCTACGAGCCGAAATGAGACCCATAAACAAAGCCTGTCAGCTAAATCTGTTACCGAGAATAAAATGGAAAACTTCCGCCACTACGTAGAAACACAAATGACGAGTCTCCTTATACACCACGCAGAAAATACCCGGAAAACATGAACGACGTTTCAGAAAGTTTCAAAAACAGAAAGAGCTCACGCTTTACACACCTGCAGTGCAGCAGCATCGGCGGGCGGCTCTCCCACGACGACGTGACTGCTCGGGCTCGGCTTCTCGCAGGAATCGCCGCCCAGAAGCTCCTCCGCCGACAGGACGGGCACCGGCGGC